GAGATTGACGAGCGCTCAAGGAGAAAGAGTCTTTCATTTTCGGGTGGGCGAATCAGACTTGGGGGTGGCAGCCTGATCCACCGCTCAAAGACGGTAGACGGAAGATCCAAAAAATCAGGCTTTCCTCGCCGTGTAGCGTCGCAAGGGAAAAGTAGATTAGATACCCACCACGAAGATGGACCCAGCAAAAGTGCTGCTACAAGTTTAACAATGGAACCTGCAAAACCCCATGTTCCCGATGGAGACATGTTCTCCCACCCGGAGCAGTCCACGGTTGACGAGCATACAAGGAGGTGGTCGGATTCTAGAGGAGACGACCAGCACCACCCAGGTATTCCAAATAATACTTCATCTCCTCGTTACTCATGCGGCGAACACAACCAGAAGGACAAGGGGCAGGACCCTAAATCTAATCCTTCTAGCATTTGTTTCCGGCTTAGTAAACCGGAGCAGGCGAAAGGCAAGCGGTGGCGCAGGTTGAGCCGTTGGCTCGACTTTGGCAGTAGAAAGGGAAGAGTTTCCTAGTGGACTTTTCCCCCTATATGTTTTTATCCACTTTCCGGGCGTATATATAATGTCGTGTATTTTCAGCATCGGTAAACCAGTTTTGGGTTCGAAGCCGCATCCATCATTAGGCGAACCAGGATTATATTTTTTGGGGCTCTCACTAGTAGTTAATAAATCAAATTTTCTCACCTTTGTTAGCAAGCCAATTTGTGCCGTATCTAAATTTAGAACCATTTGCCCCATCAAGAGAACATACTTAAACGTCGATGTGTAAATATTTACATGAATGCTGACGGGTTTTGGACACCCGGAACCTTGTGTGCCCGGACAGGGAGATCACATAATAGTTGACTCATCCGTCCAATCGGCTGCAGAGTTGCGCCCCTAACTATAATAGCTAGCTCCTTGCAGCTTCAGCTCCATCCGGGCATGGCTGAAGCAGTTTTGCCTAGAGGTACCCATACCAACTCTCTTAACTCTGGCACTGTGAAATTGCAAAGGGTGCTCTCCTTTTCCCGCTCTTTGGTTGATATTCTTTCTTTTATCTCTCGCACTCTCGTCCTCGCTCTCAGCTTGATGTCGGGCTTGTGTTTTGTCCCCCTTATTCTTTCGTACTCAGTCACGCGACCTGACGCAAGCTTCTCACCCTATCCTGCAGGATGGCAGACGATGACAAAAGCAGGAGTTATCTTAGCTTCAGCGCTCAGTTGGATGAAAAGATATCCGATCTCAGTAATTCTTTAGTTGGCCCATCACATTTTTTTCATTCCAATGCCCAGTTCACTCCCAAATGGCAGAATGCAGATATCCAATACAATGCTCGGAACGGTGAAGGCTATCATAACACCTCCCAGCTTCGCTCATTTTTCACAAATGATGGTTACCAAGACACTTCAGCCGACAATGAGAATCAAGAAGGTTCAAGCGATCTCTCGTGTGATGAAGAACTCCTAAAGAAAAAACGTGCTGCGGCAATGGATTCGCTATCACAGAAAAGAGCTGCAAGTTGGGGGGGACATTCTGGAAATTCGGAGATCTCCAGTGGTGCTGTAGGAAGTCAGGCTCCTCCTACTCAAGATACAAGCTCTACCACCGATCAGCAGAAGCTCGCAAAGACATCCGCGGCTGCTGTGGGTGCCATGAGTCCAGAGAATGAGCCTTCGTCAGAAGATCAGACCAATCGTAGCGGAAGGACTGATTCGGTCGAGGAAAACTCTCATCTGCGCCAGATAGCTTCAGCTGAAGATATTGATGGGTTGTTAGCTGAAGGGAGAGTGTCAGCAATTGGCATTACCTTCAAATCATCTACAAAGGATCAGCCTAGCAGCGAAGGTGCTGATATCACGCAGCGGTCGCCTGTTCCACCAAGCGAAAATAGCTCTCAAGCGGCGAGCTCTGCACCTCATAAGCATCAAATCAACCATAGATATTACTACAAGGGCGGATCCGATGGCGCTAGGTTCACCCGCTCTTCCGTCGCAGACGAAGAGCCGATATCAATTCTGGCAGAAAATAGCGATGGTGCTCCCCGTACGGACGTGAAGCAAATTCCTCCTTCGGGACAGGAACCCCGTTCCGATCACAAATCATATCCGGAGCGCCGTATTTATGAACCGCCAAAGCGAGTTTTGGCAGGAAGCAGCCCTTATCGGGCCACAGGTCGGGGTGATGGGTCAAGTGCAAAGCCCAGCATCCCCTTGGAAAAACAGTCACATTCTACGATGCCATCCAATCGAGAGACTTGTAATGAGTTCTCCAAGTTACAATTCCATGAAGTTGAAGAACTCAAAGAATGGCTGGTTCACACGGGCTATTATGATGAAAATTACCGTCGTGCAACTTTGCATCGTCACAAGCGAATTGCTGCCTTGGAACGTGAAAAGGAGGATCTCATGAGAGAAGAAATGCAGGAGCGCAATGCTTTGACTAAAAATAACGATCTGGGGCCTTTATTTCCCCTCAAGCACTCTTTCGAGATGCCAAGTCATAATGTGCAGTCGTCTCCTTCTATTCCTACCCCAACTTTCGTTCCAAAGGTCAGCACGACATCTAACACAAGAAGCTTTGGTGGTACCAGAAAGGAATTGAGTTCGGGATTGTGTGATGAATTTACATCCAGCTACCTCTCCCCTAGCTCTGTTTCAAAAAGACTATACTCTGATTTTGACAATGATACCCAGAATGAAAGGGTGGAGAAAATGGTAAGGGCTGATGCTAACAGCAAACCCAGGAATAAGTTGTCAAACGAAGAAGGTAGGTGACCAAAATATATATCCATTAGAATTGTGTATTAGTTCAACTTAAAACTAACAGACATAAAAGCAGCTCCGGACTATATGAACGAAGATCATTTGGATCTCATGAAGGAGCGTAAATTATCTGATGGTGGTGAACCCATGATGGGGGGAGAAGATAAATATTCCACTAGTCGGAAATCATCTAGTGGTTGGGGAAATGACTCTGACCTTTTCATTCATGATTCCCGATATCCTGGTGATGGTGGCCAAGACGACTCATATGAATTCAGGGGCAGTTCTTTGACTTGGCGAGGACGTGGTCGGGGTCGGGGTCGAAGTCGGGGTCGGGGTCGGGGTCAGGGTCGTGGGTGGATTTGTGGGCGTGGGCGTGGGCGTGGTCGTGGTCGTGAGGTTTCTACCGGTTCATTTAGCCGGGAGGTTACTAGATCTGGATTCTCCAATGAACCAAGAGGGTCCCAGGAATTAAATCTGGCTGCTGGTGGTATGTTCCAAGATCATCCGAAATCTTTTCTGAGATGTTAGCTTATTAACAAATATATCTATCTACTCAGGCGTCAGTTATTTCCTGATAAAGTGTCTTGCGTATGAGATGGTAGATGCAGCGAAAGTAGAAGTATATATTTCCATTTTCTTGATTTTTAAAATTCACCTAAATCAGCTGGTACATAAGACCCAATTAACAATACTTGCTAGGGCACTTGGGCAACGCAGCCTAAGAATATTGAGAAGTTTACTAATGCATTCGAGAATTCTCGGCATGTTATTCTTATATTCTCTGTCAACCAGAGCGGGGCGTTTCAAGGCTATGTATGAAACTCGCAAGAGCATATGCGAATGCCCAACTAACCTTTTCACAGGCACGTATGGAAACTCAACCTGGAGCTTCAGGAGTGGCACCTCCAAGTTGGGTCAAAACCCTTGATATGTCGCTTAGCCAGCCCTTCAAAATATGTTGGTACAATACCGTGAACACGATGTTTCGACATGTTGGCTATCTGAAAAACCCTTATAATGAGGATCACGAAGTTACCTACGCAAGAGATGGTCAAGAAATAGAAGGAGAATGCGGTCGCATCCTATGTGAGATCCTTGACAAAACAATGGATTTTGTTTCCGCCTGAGATAGGCCTTGGGATCAGAGCGACCCCCGCTGCCAAAAGCTGACCTGGCAAGCCTGCAAAATTTTATGTTTTGCTGCATAAACACAAAATTGCAATCACTTTACGACAGGGTTTACTCTTATGTAAGGGACTAAATACCCATTTGCAGGTACGCAGGGTGATCTGTCAGTATACCCAATACTTGAATTGAGCAACGCAGTCATTTGTAATGAACAGCAACATACGCCATACGCTTAAATGTTTTCAAGATACGACATTGTATAACATATCTCTTCACTTTCTTAAAAGGTCCATGTACAATTGGACACTCAAATTCTCCAACCGGAAGCGTGACGGTATCCGCGCAGCTTGCCTTCGCCGTTTCAACTGCACTGAGCTGCATATCCTTTTTTGTACTTTTATTTTATCATGCACTTTATTCGATCATCAATGGCTCGTTTACACGGTACCTAGCAGCAAATAAATTCACGAATTCACTTTTCAAGCGAATTTATTTCAAGAATGCCCGAGATATCACATTTCAGAGTTCATCTTATATGAAGCTCTCCAGCATGGGACTGTTGCAATTCTATGTATCTTTCTAATGATGTTCAAATTATCACACTCCTTTACCACTCCTTCACGTGGTTACCATGTCTTTTCTTTTCTTTTCCTTTCTTTCTTTCATTCTCATTTTCATTTTTATTTTAATTAGTATTCAGTCATGAGCTTTTCTTTTTTTGTTTTAAGACGTCCGTTGAGTCCGCAATCAAGAAATGTATTTATATTTAAACTCCGTCGAGATACAACAACTAGAAGCCGTGAAAACCCGTCACTTGCCTTCATATTCCCATTCTCTCATTTGATTGAGAAATGGTTGACTATTATTTCATGCCTCATCATGAAAATATTTATCCGAATTACAGGGAAGGGAAATGATTTAATATCGAAACAAACATCACTTCACAAAAATCTCATTCGCAGCTTTAGGCAAATACGCCTCCTCAAGATAATTAACTTCCTCCTTTGTCAAACTGAATCTTACCACTCATTTATCACTGCCTCACCGATTCTCTCTAAATTACCCAGTCCCAAAAACGATTATCTCCAGTCTTCTCCAGACTCCATGCCGTTGTTACCTGCGCCATGCTAATCCCCTTCTTTCGCGCCAGCTCCTCCACACGACCACAATCTTCTCACCCACGTCTTTGTCACGAGTAAGGACTGCAAAGCCAATGGGGAAATCGGTATGTGCGTGGACTGAGGTCTTTGTGGACCTAGGAGTTGGAAGGACGCCACGGGCCAGTGACGACTGGGGGATTATCCCAACACCGCTATCGAGACAGTACGGGATCATTTCATGCTCATCCTCTCGCTAGAAGAGGTTGTAATAGTTTTATATGCTGATGAATTGGTGCCAGCCGTTGCGGGCTGCGGTGTTCTGCAACGCCTGAAATCCCCAGGCAACCATCTACATACATATGGATTGTGTTAACATCACCACACGGCACAAAGGGATAACTACCAGAGGATAAAAATTGCAAAGAAAAATTATTAAAAACAACGGGAAAAAAGAAAAAAGAATATCCTCACCGAGCAGAACACCGTCGTACCTGACATTCCCGGACTCCACCACACCAATCAACGACTTCATAATCTCCTCCCGTGGTGATTCTCTACCCAGCTGATGAATCTGTATCACATCGACATACGTGCCCAATCTCTCCAGGCTCCCCTCTATGGCATCAAAGATGCATTTTTGCGCGACAGACAGTGTGGTAAGTGACATGCCAACTGCCACTAGCTGTGCCGCGTTTATCTGTATCCCTGGGGTCCACGGGATGAAAATTTTTGGTCAAGATGACCACGCTGAAGCGCGGGATAAAGTAGTTACTGTTTAACCTCTTTTCCAAAGATTACCTCTTGAGCAGCTAACGGAGTACGTGTTTGCGAATATCAGTTTTCGTTCTTCTTTCGGGCATGCAGTGAACATGAAAGGAATAATTTTTAGGACTAATAAGAGGAGGATGGTGAAGTGATGAAGAAATTCAGACGATTGTATGCACCGTATCCCACGGATTGGTTTCCCGTTTATTTGCATAGTGTATTAACGGGAGATTTCCTTCTTCTTGAGAGCCCATAGTTCCCAGCTGGATATCGTCAACCCCGATTTGCCTAGTCTGATGGAGTAAAAAGTAGTTATAATTAGGGAACTTGTTACTTATTTCATTATTATTTTTCTTTTCTTTTCTTTTCTTTCTTTTCGCATTTGCAATTATTTCATTCGACTTTTGGCAGAAGGGGAACGGGAATGTCTCCAATTGACGCCTTCGGATACACATCG